TCCTGGCTGAATCCAGCACAGTGTAGAACACGGGTCTTACCAGCGTTAGCCAATGCATTAGCAGCATTCCCTAAGCGACAGCTGTACATCGGGAGCAGCAGCCAGCTCCTCCAGGCAAACGAGTCATGCACAGACCACACAGATGCGGGTAGTGAAGCCAGAGACCACCTCACTACTACAGGGAGCTACTTCTGAATAGATTTTTGGTTTATTTAATGGTTTTTACTGTCTGTCACCCCACAGCCCAGCTGGCGAACTCCAACCCTACAGCTTTAGGGAACACACGATCTCCTGTAAGACCAAGAAACACGCAGCACCACGCTAACGGTTTTAAGTTAACCAGTCAGCCGTCCCCATCAGAGCATCTCAGGCAAACTTATGCCTGAGCCGCAGATGTTGCGCGATTCAGCGCCGCAGGTAACCATTCACGGGAGCAAAACAAAAAGCCCGCGGAGCCAATGAAACTTGACCCGTAATTTAGGTGAGCTGGCAAGAGAGGTACAAGCAGCTTCCGGGTGGCAAAAATGAAGGCTTACCTAGCCGCAGGAAGGAGAAAAAGTAGAGCCAGAACAGGCAGAGAATCGGAGCTGCAAGGGCCTGGTTCACAGCTGCGACGTGCATCTTCTTCTCCAGCTTGGCAGGGAGATAGGCGTAGAAAAGGTTGTAACGGTCAACCATGTGCTTCAGGAGGATGTATATTAAACCTAGAAGGAAAAGAGGGAGAGCCCGGGGTTGTGGAAGACTCAGTAAGAACCAGCAATTCTGTGAGGAGATCTACACTTAACCAAGGGACTGAAAATCTCGATACCGATGGTGGACACAGCCCAAATATGACTACGGCACGGCTGCCTGACAGCAGCGTGCTCCTACGGTTGCTGCACCCCCAGCCCAAGTCCCCCAGGGTCTCCCCATCCCTCACCCTCTCCACGCGCTTCTCTGCGGCACCACTTGTGCTCCCCCAGAACCCAGAGCTCCTTCCTGGTGCTGGCACAAAGGCTGAAAGGGTAGGGAAGGCTCGGTAACTCCTCCCCCTCCGCACTGGTAAGGAAGAAAGGTCTGACCGTGGCTCAGCGCCTCCCCCTCAGCCTTCGAGAGGTTCATGACTGGATTTCGAGGCAGCAATTTCTTACTCCCAATAAAAAAAGCCAGTTACAGCTGTGACAGCTATTAATTGCGACAGCTCTGACATGCAGTAGCACATTCAGATATTTACAACTGCATGCAAAACGAAACATAAATAAACATCAAGTACAATGTTACTAAAAATTGGCCACATTCTCCCTATAATAAGGTTGTTGATTAAAACCAATTCTGAACAATATCTAATTTAGCTAATTATGTTGTATCTAGCTCCCTGAAATTTTGGATTAGAAAAGGAAAATACCAACTATATAAAATGATTTAGTACTACTTATGCCTGATAAACAGGTTCCCAGAGTGGAAATATCGGTAGCGGCTGAAATGACTCTTTACACATAATTCTTATGAGAGTCCAGAATCTCTGTGAATGAAAGATGCAATAAAATAAGATGTGTGTCATGTCACAGTCGCTGGACAACCATCCACGAGTTCCAGACAGATTACAAGTTCTTGCACACCCAAACAGGATTTAATGGCTGGTTCAGGAAGAAGAAAGTAGTCAAGACAACTTAAGGCAGAAATACTAAGTTTTGTTCACGGGACAGAGCTAAACCAACTAAGAAAAACATCCCAAAAAAAAGGAAGTCTATGACTCCAAGATCTTCTCAGGGTCCTTGGACTGCAGCTCTGCCTACACCACAGGGCAGGCTGTGCTTCACCCACATGCCCTGAACTCCCAGTTGACTGGTTTTCCAAGCCAGCAAATCTACCAGAGCAACAGCACCTCCTTCCCCAGCCAAGGGGCAGCTATGGCGTTCACCAAGACCATGTCCCAGCAAGCACATCGTTAGGTCACATCCCTGGGGTCAGGACCACAGAGCATCCGGCCGTCCACAGCACAGTGGTGACTGCAGCCCCTGACCTACCACACTCCAACCTGAGAAATGAAACCAAGCATCTAGACATGAAATTCAACTTCTAAAGGCAGTACAAGAGAGAAGTAATTCACCACCTTCTGCCCTGTTTTTCCACAGGAAGGGAAGGAAACTCGGATCCAAGTCCTAAGGTTTATCAGCATTTGAACTGAACTAAGAACGCAGGACCAGGCCTTCCCTCACGCCCCCATCGCACTCGCACGGCGCCCACGGCTCGTCGGAAAACTCACCGAAGGGGACGATGATGGGACACGTAATGCTATAGGCCATGATGACAGTGAACACGCACAACATCCAGGCGTACATAGCTCCAAATTCATATTCAAAGGCTTGTTGCTGGGAACAAAAAGACCAAAACAGCCAAAACTCTCCCGTCATCCATCGGCATGTCACGAGTTAAGAAGAGATGCACTAAAGAACAACTCACCTTCCCTTACTCTCTGCCTACAAGAGATCTGTTATTTCCCCAAGAGCCGTAAGTGTTGTAATCAGAGACACGAGGCATTATGCGGTTTAAGCATCTCTACTCACAGAAAACAGGCTGCTTCTTTCACAGCCTTAAAGCAGTTTCTCAGGGAATCTGTTTTCATCTACAAGAACCAACTACTCAAACACGCAAGGCAGAAAATAATTGTGCCAAGCTCAGAACATCCACCTCCCTGCATATTCCATTGAATCTGTACCGTTCCTTGTGTTGGCTTTCCCAGTAAGGAAAGCTCAAGATATCAAAGCTTTGGTGTGGTCAGCATTCCCACATTTTCCTCTTGGGATGAGGAAATCAATATAAATTGTTTCAATCAGAGCAAGGGGTAATATGCTACTGTTACAGAAGTCAAAGTTTAAAAGAATTTTTTAAAAATGGAGCCCACTCACCCATAAAAAGAAAAAAAAGAGGAGGGGGAGCTATATACAGGCTAAAGTTCCCATTGTAACACCTGGAATTTCAAGCTGCAAGCCAACACATCATCTGGAAGTAAAAGTCTGCAACTTAAAATGGAATACAGGTCTCCCCCTCTCCAAAAAAAAAAAAAAAAGAAGAGATAATAGTTAATGGGATGAAGGAAGGGAGCTCCCACTGTTTATGATAAGGATCGGTCATTTAACTGCCCCTTACTAAGCTGGGGCTCTAATACCTGCTTAATATTTTTCCTTTCCGCTGTGGACTTGGCCATTATCATGCGTATGGTGTAAAGGATGAGGCCGGGCAGGCGCAGCAGCTCCATCCCATTGCCAACGAATGCAGAGGCAATCACATAGTTCACAAAGAAGGCTCCCTGGTCAGGCAAAAAGACACATCTGCAAGGAAAGACATCGGGCACTGACTGGAAAGCAGACAAGCAAATAGGGATCCATTGTATATATGTACATATCCTCTATCGCCTTTGGAAATCTCTTACCACAGAGATAAGCACTGGGCACTGTAAGAATTGGCTAAAAGGCTTCTAATTAAGTGTAGTATTCTGTAAGAGCCTGGCTGAGCTGCAGCTTGGAAGAGGAATCAAGGCCAGGCTGGATGAGGCTTTGAGCAACCTGGTCTAGTGGAAGGTGTCCCTGCCCATGGCAGGGGGGGTGGAACGGGATGGTCTGTGAGGTCCCTTCCAACCCAAACCCTTCGGTGACTCCATGATTCTAAGAGGAATGAACTGTTCATGAAAAGATGGGTGGCTGATGGCAGAGAAGAGCATCATTTAATGTCTGCAACAGTAACCCCAGAATAGATAAGACTGCAGTAGATTTTCTCTCCTAGCTTAGCGTCCTGATCATTCCATTCCAGTCTTTCCCTCCAGCCACAGTCACAAGGGCTTACAGTAACCAGTATCTGCAAGTTGGCAATGCTGGTGTAAAAACTCTCACGCTTCTTAAAATCAAAAGTGAATGGATTTCAGAAAGAGAACTGCTGCAGCTACTTGGTTTCACTGTAATCCTTGGGAACGTCCCCCGTCCACAATACGCAACAATCCTCAGTACATTTCCTGGTCCCCCCTTACCTGCATCATATCATTCTGACCTCCTGACTTCTACAGAATTCGTAAGGTTTTGGGAAAATAACTGTCTCTTTATTGAATGTCTGCATACAGTAGCTAGCAGGAAAGAAAGTATGGATGCCCTCAGAGCAAAACCACTTGCATTCTCCTCCCAAAAGCTCCATATCATCCCACAGGTTCCCATCCCCAAGCAAATTTTAATAAACATTAACCAAGGTCAGTCAACAGAGAGAAAAACCCCAAGTCCTAAGTATTCCTTTAGTAAAGGGTTGTGAATACTTACTCCAGCCTAACTGCAGAATCAGACGATTCTCTGTCAAACAGCCAGCGGAAAAAGAAATCAAGGCTGGAAGAAAGATGGTGAATGGAATTCAGCCTCCGGCAGCTTAGTACTGTGTAAAACTGCTTCTCTTTTAAGTAGTTCAGAGCAGGACAGTGGATAGAGACAATGTAATCAAATCATCTGAACACTACTTTATCACAGTTACTGACAGTCAGAAATAGGAAAAATGATACAGAACCAAACCCAGCAGAAATATCTACTTCCTACCAGAGTTGTAATGATTTATGTTTAGCAGCTCTGTAGACAGGGCAGATTCCCTGGCTAACCCGGTCACGGGTAACAGTCACATACTGCAAAGGAGGAAAGAAAAGGACCAGTACAACTGAAGTAAAAGCCAGTGAGGAAAGCGGGTTCTCGGCTGCGATGGGGGTATGGGCAGCTTTCAGTTAGTCGTGGGTCTTACAAGGTCTGACATTTCCCTGCAAAAAGGAAAGTCAGCCTTTGGCAACTTTTAAGGGCTATGAGGTCCCCAGAGGAAAAATGAGCATTGCAATCTAATGCGTAACAACATCATAAGCATACACACTGGAGGGAGTGAGGGTGCATCAACTATACCTCAACCAGCAACTAGGAAACAGAAGTAAGTTGTCTCGTGTGATAAAAACACTCAGAACATTACTGCGTTAAACTATGATTCTTTACCTGGTCAGACCAAGGGAGGGCAGAATCAGTACCATGAAGATCAAAAATATGTAGACTTTATGCATCATTATCCTGTTCTCTGCAGACCTACCAACATAAAAAGTCACTGAGTAAGAAAGTCATACGCAAGACTTCCACACATGAAGGGCCTTGCCCTGAGAATGTCAAATTTCCAGCTTCCCCTATCGTATCACATTACTACAAGACACTCACAAAACGAACATCTGCGAGACATTCACTAATTTGGACCAAGCAGGCTCCCAGTATCCTCCTGGGCAAAGACCACAGCTCTGAAGGCTAATCCAGACTCTGGGTTAGCATCACCGCAGGCCTGCACCAGGAGCACGGGGATGTGTGACAATCACTGCTGGTCTCTCATCCAACGACACATCTCGCAACAGCCTGCGAACAACCCACTTGGAGTGGTACACCCAGAGAGATTAGACAGTTCCGGAAAGTGTGCCAGTGCCGAGAAACTGGACACGTAGGCTACTCGACTGTCCTTTCCAAGTGTCTCGTCTTTGGGAACAACTGACACTACCAGCGACACGCTGTTGCCAGAAAAGCGCAGCGATGCTATAACCAGTTCAGGCTGTTAAAGGTGGTACCTGAGAGGGCATTAACACCCCAGAGGTTCTACTGTAGGATCACGCAGACCCCGGGCACTGTGGGACGTATCAGTGTAACTATACTGAGGTTTGAAATCAGATCTGTGATCTCTAGGGACTTTAGAAAAGCTACTTCAACTGACTGAGAAGGGCTCAGAGTTCACGTGTCTTGTGCAACTACCAAAAAACCCCCGAAGTTGATGAAAAGCATACAACTGATGAATAAATGGTAGATCCTGGACACAGTGTCTTACAAGGGAATAGGACAAAAAAAATGACAAAGTCCCCAAAAATTGTCCTTAGAATATAAAGCCAAACGAAAAACGGCTGCAAGCGTTACGGAAGAAGACTGAAGTTGAGTGAAGCTGAGATTCAGCGTGCAGCATCATGCTCTTATCTGCCTGTAGGTAAACTGGGGATGAAACCTGGTGTGCCAAACCAAGCCGTGCTGAGTTCTCCAAGTCAGCAGCGCGTCACCACGCTTGACGTCTCCGCACTGGTCGTGTCTGAAAAATCTTGCATCAACACGTCTGCCGGACCTTGGTCCCACAGGTCTTCCCAGATCACCACCAACACCAAGTGAGCTGTGCACAGGAGCCGCATCGGACTGTTTCTCTCCCACAAAGCAACAGAGAGATGGATGCCCTGTTTCTAAGCAGCACACCAGCAGTTGGCGCGCTTTCTGTTGAGGTAGGATTCTGGGGGGCTGTGATGTTCTCAGTGAGCAAATCACATGGCCAGATGACACTTGCTGTGCTGATTGCAAGTTACTTCAGCTCCAAAGGGTTGGTTATAACATTAGAAAGAGATGAGAGCATGACATTCCCTGCTGTGAGAGGTCTGTGGATTTAAGAGCTCCATGAAAGATAATCACTTTCTCCGCTTATTTTAGTTAATTCAGCTGATGAGACCAAAACAGAGGAAAATCTCACTTACTTTGTCCAGTGGGACTCCAGCAAAGTTGAGTAATAGACAATTGTTGGTAGCAAAGCTGAGAAGGACCAGAGCAAGAGCGTTGGGAAAAACTGACTGACGATGGGATTCTAGCGGAAGGAAAAAAGGGTAAGTGTTAAAAGCATTTCAGTGCAGCTGTGCTAGAACAGAGACTGCAATATTTTTCTTTTTGTAAATGACAGCAGGTTGGACTGTGGAAATTATATTCAGGCGGTCTTAAAACGAGCGAGTGCTCAGTACTGGTGTGACAGACAAAAAACAAGAGTAGGATTGGGAATCAGATTCCACGACAGCGAAGTCTCACACGCATTTTTTACGTGGTTTACGTTAGCTTAGGAAAGTATTTAAAATGAACAGTTTGCAAGAGACTTCAGCTGCAAACTAGGCCCGGATGTACCTGCCATCCTGTTTTGAATCTGAAAAGCAAAATAAAGCCATGGCATTTTACTTCAGAGTTTAAAATCTGAATGCCCCCTCTGTCATCATGAATATCAAAATGCAAGTTGGACTTGAAATTCCTTTTTTGGCAAAGGTTTTTGATTACAAAATCTGGAATTATGTAAGTTTGGAGTGCAAGCTTTCACTACAAACAAATAAGAGAGTCATAGTAATACAAAGTTTCAGATTAAATGACTTCAGCCTATAACAAGGAACAAAAGAGGACTAAAGCCCTGTTTCTGGATGCACGCTTTTTATCGCCAGTTATGTAAAACAATCCTGAGAATTTCAACTGAATTTGGCTTAGATGTTGTTTCTTCGTCTTACTATACGGCCGTCAGTTTATTGGCACTTTGGTCTGACACACAGCCACACCCAGACACGTGGGGATACTCACGTTAAGGTAGTGAATGGGTTTAGTGACATTGAACTTGTCCATGGTCGAGATGATGATGGAAGGAGTAGTGAGAAAAAACAGCACAATAAAAAGGAGCAGATTAATGCAAGCCCATCTGAACCACCATTTCAGTCCACGCACGGAAAGGTTTTTCCTGAAAAAAGGACATAAAACCAAGAAGTAAGCATTTGCTGTTAAAAAAAACCAAAACCAAACAAAACCATACATACTCTCTGTCCAGTAACAGGTGGCACTGCTTTTTCTACACTGAACTTCTGTAGTCCCAAAATTATGGGAGAAAGCTTCAGTTCTAGTTGCTATTCTATTAGAAAGAAAGAAAACCGTGCAGCCTTTCTTGAACGGTAACATAAATCGGCGCTTGCAGAAGAACATTTTTAGTCTTTCATAACACAAACACAACGTCTAGCACAGTCAAGGTTTGGGATGAAACACTTCCACCGTTGAACAATACGGAAGTACAAGAAGAGACAGAGATAGAAGAAGATACAGAGAATTTCTGCAAGGAGAATAGCTAAAGAGGCAGAATCTACCAAGAAACTGCGATTTGAAATAATCATTAGACACGCCTGCGTCCCTTCCTGCCACATGAAAACAGCAAGCACGGCTCTTAAACAGGTAAAGTTCTCAAATGTTATCTAAAAAGGTTCCCAAAAGGACTGGAATGATTGGAACCCCAGGCAAAGCCAAGTATTTAGAACAGAGAGAACAGGGACGCAGAGGCTCAGCAAGATCCCCAGTTACAACAACTCTTTTTGTGAGCCTAGATAAGTAACTTGGCAAATCCCTGCACCTCCTCTACTTCAAGGGTGAGGGGAGAGAGGAAAAACCCTCCTCTCCGAGATGTTTAGAAAAGCTCTGTAAGTGCTTCAACCCAGTGAGTCTCAATGATCACTGCCTGTGTCCGTAAGACATGCCTGACGGCAGGAAGAGGAAACGAAGCCCCCAGGCATGCAAGCGCCCTTTCCTGACAGGGGGAGATTAAGCTGACCCCACTTGGAAAGCAGCTTGCAAGAGATTTTTAATTCATGTCTCCAAAGGACACAGCTAAGAATCACGGCTGTTTGCTTTATGGTTAAAGATTCTGTACTTCCCTCTCAACTGCAGAACTGTAGCTCTAGAGAGAACCTCTCAATTATTAGAAATAACGGCACAGTCACCTTAAAAGTAAGTTCCTATTGAAGTCATTAGGGCAAAAAGGTGTCCTTGAAAAGCTAAAGTTACATACAGTAACTTGTGCACGTTTGTGTTGGGGTGATGGAAACATCACGACGAGTTTACTGTTACATGAACAGGGGATTATACTGACCCCCCCCTAAAGTTATTTGCAAAGCAACTGGAAAACGTTCAGTCATTTTGAGCATGACGGAAGGCAGCACAGGAACAGTTTAATTTCAAAAGCATTTCTCTATGTTCCAACACTCCCCTGTAAGCGGTGGGTAAAGTCTGGAAAACTTACTGGGTCGATAATAAGATGTTAGACAACAGATTTCAGAGAGTGGATGAAGTTACACTTGTGATGTGGCAGCTCAAAACCACACACACATACTTGGAGAATACGCAGCACTAGCACCAAGGAGCTCTCCTCAGCAGATATGCATTGACCTTAAAAAAGGGAAACACTGAGGCACAGATATCAATAAGCTGGCTTTTGGTTGGTTGTGGGTTGGGGTTTTTTGTTTAGTTAACAGGAACTGCAGGTACCAGATCTCTCGGGTGGCAAAACTCTAGTCAGTCTCCAAGAGGTTTCCCCAGAGTCAAAGAACACCAGTAACGGAAATAAAGATGCAGATCAGCCAAACCTGAACACTACACAAAGTTCATTTAGGGTGACAAAGGCACTCAGCCCCCCTCCCCTGTCCCCATTCTAAACTGACATTATCACCAACAGATGGATGCAGGGCAGGAATCTTACCAACAAATATTCTCAGGATAAGGAGCATACGTAACCTCCCAGTCTGATATGCACAGCTCCTTGCTGTAGGATGATGGCTGGGGTTCTCCTTTGCACTTAATACTCTGACATTTGCAAGCATTGAAGTCCTTAAGGATACTGTAAGGAAGAAAAAGAGGAGGAGGATTTTTCCAAAGTTTTACAGCTGAAAGCACTACATGTATCATGAGAAAGACTGGTGGGTGATAAGTGATAGCGATAAAGGGGTTTTTGTTTCGCGTAACCAGAGATCAAGACAGGACTCGGACAACAATGTAACATTATATTATGCACATAATGACCAAAGACAGTTACTACCACAGGCCTTTGAGATCTGAAAGTTGGAAACAAAAAGCAGTCTTGGTTTGAACTGTTCGGTGCTTCTACCAGCACGAACAACAGTAGTGACTTGTATTAAAAAAAAAAAAATTAAAATAAGAAATCAAAGCCTGAGAGCACTGGAAAAAAATAAAAAATATAGACAGCTGGTTCCCCAAACACCTCTTTGCGTAATAACAGCTGTTTTCAAACCAAAGCAGACTAAAAGATTAGTCTGCACTCTCATTTCATTACACTAGCATGAAAACTAGCCCATTTTGCCTTGAGTACCACTTCCCAGAAAATTTTTTATCATGCTGGTACTCTCACCGTTCAAAAATATCACCCTCTTTCACCCACTCCTAAAATAATCACAATACTTAATTTTGCCTTCTACTATTATGAGTTGATTGACAATTACTGCATTTAAACAGGCCCAGAATAAACGCTTTCAGAGAGTTCTCAGAACACAGCAACAGAAGTGCCAGGCGTACACTCGGAGACCGTACAGCTGCACGTGTGCGTCACTGTGCAAGAGAAGTTCCACGCCAGAGAACCTCTATCACACCAGCACGGAAACAGCCTGTGTTATATTTGAACAGGTAGGCTCCAAATCTCCTGAACGTGCTTCTCAGCTGTTGCTCTTAAAGAGAGCAGAGAACATGCACACCAACGCCAGAACACGCAAAAATAACCCCCAAACCCCAGATCCTTAACCTTACCAGAATTCAAGAAGTGATGTCAAACTGCCAGCGTCTTGCAGCAGCAAGTATTTAAGAAAGTTAATTATACTTTGACAGTTTATTTTTAAAAATACACACAGAGCAAGCTTTAGCACTACCACCAGCCATACTACTGAGCACCATCACTAACCAAGCTTCTCCAACCACCTGACTCCATGAACCTCCGTCCTGGCTTCCTGTTTCACCCATTCCATTCCAGGGCTCTGCTCCACAGAGCCCTCTAAGGCCACCAAATAACTTTCTAATTTGATGGTAGCCTCGACTTCACATGTAATTGAATCTAATTTTCCAGAAAACAGAGCTTCCCACATCCCTGCCAAGCCAAACAAACCAAAATCTTTTCAGTTCTTGGTAACTGTGCTCAGAGATGCCCGCAGTGCGACGGGGAACACGTGCCCAAGGAGAAACTACCCCACCAAACTCGGATACGACAAACTAGAATTTCTTTCTCGAGCCGCTAAGCAGCGCTTATTTCTTCTTTCAGTTTTACATCTTAAAATGTTACTTCATGCTCTAGAGTCTGTAAATACAGCGTGCAACATTGCAAAATTAGAAAGGGGGCAGATTTCATCACCTACAATCACTACTCAGTTAAAAAGCAGCAAGCAAAACTTCCTCCAGCACCTCAAATTCTTGCAAGGAATTCTATACCCTGGACCTCCTTGGGGAAAACTAAAAAAAACCCCTGAAAGACTGGCTCTCTGACGTGACTTGAAGGTCAAATGGGTGCAATTTAAGCCAGAGAAGCTACGAAGAATTGAAAAGGGGTTTTGCACTATTGTTGCAATCCGAATATTATCCTGTTCCCCTTCACCCACTCAGTGTCAGTAAAAGATGCTCACGAAGTGCCAACAGGAAAACGGGAGCTTGCGTGCATTTTCACTAGAGAGGAGTACTGAGTGCTGAGCGACTGCGGACAGCAGGCCCACGCTGGTGTCTACAAAAACAGGTACGCGACACGCAATGCGTCACCCATTGTCTACGGCCAGGACAGTCACTGGCCCTACGCTGCTGAGAAGGCTAACGAGCAGTGTAATTTGCACCCACCGCAACAGTTTGGTAATTGGACTGTTCGAACAGTAGAAAAATGGGTAAATCAGTAACTCCTAAGCACGAGCCAATTAGTCTGTCCCAGTATTAATCTACACTGATAGACGGGATCCCGTGCAGGAGAGAAAGGCTCCTTAACCCAATAACCATCCAGAGCCACGTAGCCCCTCAGGCACCCTCTGCACTGGAAGCACACAGGCTAAACACACACTTACAGAAAAACTTACCGGACAGCAAAACAGACCAAATCCACAGGGTGGTGGAGCGGAAGAAAGGAAGAAGAACCAACATAAGCAAACAAGCAACACGGAGAGGACATCAGCTTTACTATTACAGTTAAAAGAGAACAAACAAGACAGCAGGCACAACTTACTAGGTTGCCATGGATTTCTCTTGAAATGTTACAAAGGCCATTCCCAGCGGGTTATTATGAACAGCTTGTTCCTCTTTTAAATATTCTTCCATCAGTTCATTTTTAACTTTGGTATAATAATCTACAGCATCCTCCTGTTGGGAAATGGATGACCATTACACTCAAGTACCTGAGGGCTAATATCTTCATTAAAATCGAGTCTCTCTCCCTTCCACAAATTACAGATCACACCGCAACATGCAGGCAAAGAGGAAGTTTTTTCTTCTTGTACTTTGTTTTTGGCGCTAAGATTACATTTCAAAAGTTTGGGGGAATTCCTTCTCCGCCCAATGCAAGACCATGAAGGATGAGCTATCTGCAAGAAACCAAGAATTTTCTGAGGCCCAACGAGACGTCACGCAAAAGCTGTTTTCCACTCTTCCAGCCACCTCCGCAGGCACAACCGAAACCGAACACAGTCTCTTACCCTTTCACATCCCCTCGTTTCGCAACAGCAGAACTGACCGCATGGCTTAGGGTTGATTTGGACCCGCTTGCCGTACTTCTGATGCAGGTGTTCATAGTAAGTCAGGCTTTTTTCTGCCTGTTTTCTGGACAGAAAAATACATCCATAACATTTTGCAAGAAAACGGTATCAACAGCAAGCTTAAGAATAAAAACCCTGAGAGAAAAAGTCGTGTCAAGGACTGATAAGTTAATCGGTCACCAAAGATACTCATATACGTTATTTTGGCTGCTTAGTATAACTTTATTTTCAAGCCTGTAATAGCACTATACAGCCTACAACCTGTACTAAGGTTCCAGGAAAAAAAGCAATGTATAGCCCCAGAAGAGCAGACTTTTCTCTCCTGTGACCAGCACCTCCAGCCAAAGAAGCAGGTCTCCAGAGCTATTAACAGTTGTGTTTTCCACTTTGCACTGACAATAATTAAATAACTATATACATACATAATCAGCCAGTCAAAGCTTATGCAACGCACAACATGCCACACCTACAAGAAATGGGCTGAACCCCACAACTCACCTTAAAACACAGCTGAATCTAACTGAAGTCCAGACCAGAACTTAAGAGCAAAATTCATTCCTAGTATGTGCAAGCTTAGTAGCACTGGTATATGTCGATTAAGGACTGGCAAAGCATTTTTTTCTGAACCGGGGTAGGTGACAAAACCAAGTACCTTTTTTTGAAGAGATAAATAAGCTTGGCTACATCATAACACAGCTGGACCTCCAGCACCGTGCAGGTCGGGTAGGCAGCACTGAAAGGAAGCAGTAGGTGAGCGCAGCCAGAACAGAAAGCGCAATGAAGAAACTGTTGCCAAGAGCATCACTGATGTGTAACTGACATCTCAATCACTCATTTAATTTCTCAATGAGGTACCCGAGCGGAGAGTCAGTTTTAATACGAGATGTGCACCATTATTCCCAAGCAAAGGCCATGTGGGAGCATGAATGAGAAGTGTGGATACACAGGTGCTTTCTTGGATTCTAATTTTAAGATCTGCTAACTAACTTCATTGAAATATAGTCTCTTCTCAATTGTTTTTGAGGAGTAAGATACGGTTTTAGAAGACAAATACTATAATCTTAATTTTAAACAATGCAAGGGTCAAAAAAAAAAACCAAACCCTTTCTGCTTGGGCAGGCGGAGGGTGTCCCTGCCCACGGCAGGGGGGTTGGAACTAGATGGTCTGTAAGGGCCCTTCCCACCCAAACCGTTCTGTGATTCTATGAACTGTAAATCTCCTGTTCCTAATGATACTACTCGAGCATGGAACTTACGTGAAATGGCCTTGTACTGTTTCTTCTCTTGCATTTTTTGGAAGACCAGTTATAAACAACGTGCACTTAACCTGCAAGAGAGAACGCAATTCCAATTTTGAGAAACCTCGCCTCGAAAGAGGAAACAAGAACTCGGGGAAGGCAGTGACACAGCACAGTTAGCTGTGCCGCAAGGAGGAAAAGGGAAATTTTGACAGGAGCTGCACCTATTCAAAACAACATCACGTTCACCTTCTACGTTGGTAGTAAGTTACACCAACATTTCACAAATCCCTCCCCAACCCCCTTCTCTCCACCCATTTTCACAATTCACTCTGTGGGGCTTTGCTTGCAGTGAATTCCTTCACACTTAGGTCACATTCCAACAAGCAGGAGGCATCTTAGCAATTGGGTTTTTTAGCATTACCCACTTGCAAACATGCCGTATGTTTGGGGGTTTTTTCCACCCCGATACAGAAACTTACTATGTTTTCTTCTTTGTAGGTGACATACTTCATGTGATGTCTCATGAAGACAACAGTCAGCAGCAGGTAAACAACAGCAAACACAGTGTGCAGCCAGAGAAGATTATTACTGTCGGACAAAAGGTTGTGGAATATGAGAAACAGGAAGAACTAACTGTCCAACTGATACAATTAGCCATCAAAATGCTAAGAAGATCAGAATATCTCATTAAGCACAAAACAAGACAAAAAGGTAGTTACACCTGCCTATGCGGATGCCTTGGACAGCCTTTAGGGTTAACAGGGAACAGACCACCAAGGGGAGATACTCCACGACATGGGCATTTTCAGGTAGCATTTGGCTTGCGCCTTCTCGTTCAGATGGCCATAGCATACACCATGCTGTTTGCTAAAATGTTGTTTATTGGCCTCATTGGCTACTGTGCTGAGTGCAAAACTGAACTCTCCTCAAACAAAATCCTTACTCAGACTGAAAACAGCCTAATACAGGGAGTAAATTCTGCTTCTCTCATAGCTCCCTCCTCAAAGCTTACAGAAGTTGTGTTCTTCAGTTTGGCAAAGAGCATTAATAATTACAATTAACCTAAATTACAGGGACCACTTTACAGATAAAAAAATCCAACCAAGCACAAAATCCCCACTAGTTACATGGACTCATAACATGGTTGAAAAACCCAAAGTGCACCAGCAGAAACTCTGCTGGTATCATGGATGGATGTGGACTGATGAAGTAATAAAACAGAAAAATCTGTCATCTTTACATTTCAGTTATTTTACAGACTGTTTTAAAAACACACAGAAGTATGGGAGCCATACGCACACACACAAATCTGATGTAGGGGAATTCAAACCATCCGGGTTACACATTCTAGTGAAGCTGTCAGCTTTATTTTCCTTCTGAAGTACGGTTTCTTTTAATGTGGAAATTTCTGAAAATAACATCGCTAGATGTGCAGTCATTAGCCAAGAGAAACGTTGTGGCATAAGAAGTAAGAGCTGAGAGCCAAGACTTCTTATCAGCACGCTAACGGCATAGCCTGAAGAGGAACGCATCCCAGCTTCGGTTGATGGAGCGTGAATAAGTAATGCCCACCCCACCAGCCACGCTGGGAGTATCAATTCCTGTGTTTGGAGACTGTAGCAGGAAACAGGCAGAAGCATAACGGTGCTCTGCAAGAATGACTTACCCAGTCTGTAGGTTTGCTATAGTTGTTCTTCCAAAACTATAGGGATCTTTATCTGAGAAGAAAAAGTAGGATAGTTAACTGGTGCAACATTCACGTGCAAACTGTCACAAAGTCAGCTTTTATTTTTTACTAAATGCTGAGCATGTTTATTGTTACCAATATTTAGAATCATAAATCAGTGCTGGTTTACACTGCACTTTAAAGTTGGAAAAAAGCCCTAGGAACATACCACATTCAACCCATCAAGAGCAGTAATAGATCACTAAAAAACTGAATAACAGATCTTTGCAACAGTTCTCTTTCTCCCTCCAACCTCCCTTCATGTCCATTAACAACACTGTTTAGGGATTTGAACGTATTTCCTTCACATATTTATGCCATCTTCACTGAATTCTCATCTCAAGTTTTTTAAACTTCATTAATTCAGTGCTGACAAAACAGTTCCGATACCCTCACGAAGGTCAGAAACAAGAGTTTATATGACACTGTTTCTCTAGACTGCCAAGTATTTTTAAAAACGATAATGCAAGTGAATGAAAATTGACTACGTGTTCACAAAGGAAAGAGCGCTAAGTGTATCTGGAAAGGTAAACAGTCTTCTGGCACAGACTTAAACCACACCGCTAATTAAGTCATCACAACAGAGAGAACGGCAAATGCACAGAACAAAAAATACGATGGAAGGGGAGGAAGAAGGGGAGAGACACTAAAAGTTCATGTTTGGTTTTTCAGCTGTATTTCTTAGCATCACAAAAGTTAATGCAAGAAAACAGAAGCTGTATTCTCTGGCTTTAGAAGGCCAGGCATACCCTGCCACCTGAATTAACAGAAAGCAGCTATTGGTACCCAAAATACTACAACTTTTATCTAATTGTCTTTGGAAAACGACAGTGCACACAAATTGACACGTATCACAAACCCCATTTTGGTATACACATAGAGGTGGTAACTAAGAGAACGTAGTTCCCTCTTCTGCCTAAGTTCTTTGAAGGCACCACCACCTCCCTCTTTACTTTATGAAGGAGGTGAAGACAGCAACTAGGGCACCAGTTGTGCTGGATTTGATCCTGGAACACTAGGGATGCTGGGTGCGAACACAGAAGTGGAAAGCAAAAGAAGTGACTGTGAAGCAATAAAGGGTCCTTTGAAATAACACAAAAAGAAATGCAAAGAAGAGGAAAAAATGAGCAGCTGTGGTCTTTAAGGCAGAAGATATTGATATTAATATAAACAGTGAATTACTAAGAAAGAGCTCATAAAAGGGAAGCCAGAGATGGCAGTTCCACAAAGAAACAGTACTAAAGGCACAACGTATCCCATTACAGGCGAGGGCTAAGTCACAGGGCTCTTTAAAACACAAGTAGGAGTAAACTGAAAACAAGAACTAGGCCACACCATTAAGGACAATAAAATAAATTATAGGGACAAAGATCAGCAAGATCAGTACACCAAATACGACACAATTGCTGTGGCGTAAGAACAAACAACACAAAACATGAGCAACTACTCCTGCTTGGGAGCTCCTGGGAGAACCAAGCAAATTACTGCTCTTTTTGCAGGTCTGTTCACCAGGGTGATCAACTACGAACAACCCTGTAAACATGACCTTGACGAGGAGGATACAAGGCCAGGTACAAAACGGGCTTACAAGGGCTCATTATCAAAAATGGAAGAATGTTTAAGGAGGGTTTAACAGAGTTCTCTCCACCACTATTCCCATTAGCAACCTGAACGGCAGGCTAGAGGACACACTTATTCTATTTGTTAAGGGTGAGTTAATGGTGGGAAGAGGCGGGTGTCACACTGGCAGACATAAGCAGGACTAGGCTGCAAGAAACGTGAACTAATTCTTTGTCAAGTCAGCACTGACAAAGCCTCAGCGAGAAGATCTGTCCAGTTTTGAGATGCAAACCAAGACAGAAAGGAACAACGGGAGACAGCCTAGCTAGATTAAAAAAGCGTTTAAAGGATGGCTGATGATTTTATGATCAGCCAAATATAAAACAGTTCACATTAATGACCGAATTAACTGGTCTGGTTTATCAAAAAGAGAAAAAAAGCACAGGTGATAATCCTCAAGCAGCTAAAAAGATACTGCAAAAAGGAAAAGAATAATCTATTTTCCCCAGTGACAGGTCAAAAAATAAGGACTTTAAATTGCAACAAGAGAGTTTCAGACTAGCCACTAAAAACTGGTTTCTCAGCTGCAAAGGCAGTTTCCATTAGCAATCACCACCAATAAAAACCATAAACTGTTACAAAGTTTACAAAAATTAAAAAATCCTAAAAGCTCTTACGGTGATATAACACACAAAATTCTTCTCAGAACAGAAAAAAAAGATTTCTTACCAAGCAGATCACCCGAGAGGTTGACAGGTAATATGACACACACAGACAAAATGCTGACAGCGATCAACAAACAGATGATGTGCCGCTGGAAGGCAAGGTAATGTATGGCATCTTCACCGCACCTCTCGTGGATCTCGTCATCGCTGCATCATAGGCAGAAAAGCACATGGTCAGTCTACTCAGTACCTTTGGGGTTTCGGGGGGTAGTTTTTGAACATCCATGGATTTCTCAGTCTCCCAGTGACAGCTCCATCAAGCCCTATTGGTTTTCAACATGGTGTGTTCTTTCACACATAGATCTAAGTTATAAAAGTGTCTTTCTTGTGTAGTATCACCATACAAAAACTGGCGTGAGGGAATGTAAGATGGAAACAAGTAATCTGAAAAGCAAATATAAATACCAGCTCTCTTTTTATCAGCCTAAAAGACGCCAGTTGTTTGCTGTGACCTCCTGCTTTATGACCGTCACAAGGTGTTCCGTCTAGCTCTCCAACTTTAAGATCCCACTGTGACTGTGATCACTCACGTCCATAAAGGGCCCCCGTGAGGAAAATTACAGCAGAATCACCTTAGTCTTATGACACACAGTTAAAAGAAGATATTGATAGGCTTTGGAATAAACTCCCATTGCTTATCCATTAAAATGGGAGTTGTTGAAAAAGGAAGGAACTGAACTAGCAAAACCAGGGAGACAGGCTCACTGCCCCTTTGTTGTTCCAATGTATTCAAGCTAGAAATTAACATTTTAAAAATCATGATTTACTACAGCCCAAGAAATATAAAGGACAAATACCACACCTCTAACGCTCAGTTTCTGGGAAAAAGTCGGATGGGCTTTTCCTAGTGAGTCAATTCCAGCCCCAACGAAACCACCAGCTCTCCACAGAAACCCTTGCAGGCAAAGCCCATTTCCTGCCCAGGGCCTTGCTGGCTTCAAACAGGAGAACACCCACACAGTACTCTTGGACGGGTAAAAGCCCAGAGCCTAGTTATCAGCTCAGAATCCATATAAACGCCATAGATCCACTTCGGGTCAAACACTGTCCCAAGGTCAGGAAGTCCCTGGGCTGCCAGCAGGAGGACGACTGCATTCTGGAGAAGTATTCCCATAAGCTGACCTTGTCCTCCTATTCTTTCTGCACCCCACCAGAGGCCCCTGTGTCACTGTTTGTATTAAATCTACTCAGGGGAAAGGGGAAAAAAAATATGCAATCCAGCCCCTTTTTTAATTAAAAAAGGAGCAAAGGAAACCACAGCTCACTATTTCTGTTTCACATACTCACTGCATTCGAAAAGCTGCTGTCATCCAAGAACAAAACCCCTGCAAAAGAAGAAAGAAGTGTTCAGGAGCTAGCACACAAAACCTGTAAAATTAAGAAGCGTTTCTTTTAAGCCAACCTCCCAGCTAAAAAGCTGGAAGTCTGTTGCTCCAAAATCATCTAGAAACAAATGGAGAAATATCGAATATTCTACACACTTCTCACAGGGTGCTTTGTATTTTGTCTTCAGAGACTATTTAAGGGTTTTTTTATCACTTGCACATTTCATAGAATCACAGAATGGGTTGGGAGGGACCTTACAGACCATTTAGTTCAACCTCCCAATTTATTTATTTAACACCTTCCTATTTATCTTGCTTATTTATCCTATTTATTCCTACTTATATTACCTATTTATCACTTCTTGAATTTATATAAGCACGCCCAAATCCCTAGGAGCAGAAGCCAAGATTGAGGCTTCTAAGGAATTTTTTTAAATGGATTTTTTTTGAGCAGAAAAGGCAATTACTTTTTCAAGACCATTTCCAGTGACTGTGCAATTTCAAGGATAAACTCCACAAGAGTCTAATACAAGTTAATCAGTAGTTAGCAACAACACCGTGATTACATTAACAGAAAGGCTTCTTACACAGGTTTGCAAATCCTCCTATGAAACTTCACAGCAGAGATCATGTCTCACCGCATGTCCCAGTATGGTTCAAAACCAAATAAAAATCCTTCTTTCAAGTGAATAGCATCCAACCAGAGAGACACATTTTTATTCAACAGCTTCAATGACAAAGTTGCTTTAGGGTCTTAAAAAAGATGAAGAAAACTACAGGAACAGCAGAGCAATCCTGATCAAACAGCAGTTTGCTTTTGATGCTCACACAGTTATTTAGTTGAAAGGCTAGATTATTGAGTTGATGCATATATAAAATGTTAAAACGTAGGCCGGCACCGATAGACAACTCTCACATGGTTCACTCTGAAGCTGCGACGTAAAACGAGAGAGATGTACGAATTCAAAGATTCCAGAGAGACCACGGAAGGAACCAATTTGAAGTCTGGCCAAAAAATTATCTTCCACTCCAAAACAGTTTTAATATTAAAAGTACACGGCACGATTGCTTGCATCCAGCTTTCTCAACTTTGCAAGGAAAACAGTGTACTGTAAAGCAGCCTTCCAGTACCAGAAGGGGCCTACAAGGAAGCTGGGGGGGGACTTTTTACAAGGGCCTGTAGTGACAGGACAAGGGGTAACGGGTTTAAATTGAAAGTGGGGAGGTTTAGATTAGATATCAGGAAGAAGGTCTTCCTGGAGAGGGTGGTGAGGCACTGGAACAGGTTGCCCAGAGGATCTGTGGACGCCCCATCCCTGGAAGTGTTCAAGGCCAGGCTGGATGAGGCTTTGAGCAACCTGGTCTAGAGGAAGGTGTCCCTGCCCATGGCAGGGGGGTTGGAACTAGATGGTCTGTGAGGGCCCTTCCAACCCAAACCCTTCTGTGATTCTATGAAAGAACATCCAGGTATTATGTGCATTGTGAACACAACGTAACATTTTGAACTGTTATTTAAGTACAAATTATTTACCAGTCTTTTATCTCCTCCTCCCCCTTCCAAACTAACATATAGTCCCTCTCCTAATTAAAGAAAAAGTTACTTAAAAATGACACATATCATACCGGTTTATGATATGGCAACAGTTTGTCAGGAAAAGGAGAGAGATTATGTATGGTTCTGTAAAAACACCTAAACAACGCGTTACTAATTTTTGCACATTATGGTCTTCCAGGGCAATGACTGGTTCACTGGGCTAGGCGGAATGACAAATTAGAACCGATCCCATTCAGTGGTTTACACTGAAACTCTAGAATACTTACCCTGTCATATTCAAGATCTTCAGGTACCGATGACGACGTTGACAATCGGTTGTATCTCGATTCACTGAAATATATTAAACGATGCTTTTAAGTACCTTTAATAACAGGTGATGGAATTCCACAGAATTATTTCAACTTTAACCATTCTGAAGTAACTAAGGGACGTAGTTTCACTTGTGACAGCTGTGATTTTCACCCTGTAACATGTGCTTAATTACAGAAACTCGCGCTATGTCTCACGCTGAAAAGGGAAGATGTGTGAGCTCCTGACGCGGGAGCATATAACTGAATGAGAAAGGAAACGACGTTTTATTGGAATATTGAAACCGCCGTAACGTGGGAGAATGCAACACGGGTTCAGAAGCCTGGCAAGAATCGGATCTGCAAGCCAGCTTCCTGTTCAGACAGTCCTCATTGCAAGACATCACCTCTTTTCCCTCCACCTTTCTTCCTTGATCTTAGAGCCACTACAGGGGGTTTCTCCGCCCAATTCAATCCCCTACTCGCGAGGCCGTCCCCTCACACAAACCGAGAAACCTTTAGAGACTCTGCAGCCCTCAAAACTAGCAGAGCACCTGTTCGCAGTTTGTTGCTAAACAGAAATGCTGCAGTGCTGATGTGCCCATAATTAAAGGACAATACAAGCTAAAATGAAGTGTGTTCACAGGTGTATCTGTAACAATTTTGACCTAGCTGGCTCGGGTCACAGTCCTGCAGGGACAATAACAGGCTCCTCGGTGTCTGACTGCTCAAGGACCTGTTAGTCCCACACAGGCCTCCTCAGCCTGCATGGAAGCCCACACCAGAGCACCTTCATTCTTGCTGCCTCAGCTAGCTGGATTAAAGCTGCCTCAGTATTGCCCACCTTTTTTTTCGCCATCTACTTTCCACAATTTTACATGGATTATGCCTAAAACCACATTTTGACTCCTTTCCTGTTGCTTAGTTGTGAATTTGCCACAACTTAGGTGCCACCTTCATAAACAGACCACTAGCTTTTAAACATCCCAAGACATCATCCTGCAGAAATAATATTTAAAAAAAAAAAAATAATCAAAAGCTCATTTGCATTATTACTCAAAATCAGTTGAGAATTTCAGAAACCTGCAAAGACACATTTATTTTTTATTTTTAAACCCTTCAGAAATATTATGATACGGCTGCATAGGGAGCTTTGGGAAGATACTGGGCTTGAGCCAAGATAAAGAAAATAGTTCATATCCTTCTATCACACAAACAGAGAGTAAATATCAAGGTGTAGGTATGTGACATGTTAGCAAACAAGCAGCCTATTTCCTTACCTCCACTTCCTTAACCAACAACTGCAGCATGAAATTCATGACCACGGCAAACGCACAACTTTATTACTGACACTGCAAGGAGGAACTCTGAGTGGGATGTATTTAACAAAAAGCACCACGAGGACATTTTTACCAAACCATAGAATCACAGAATGGTTTGGGTTGGAAGGGCCCTTACAGACCATCTAGTTCCAACCCCCCTGCCATGGGCAGGGACACCTTCCACTAGACCAGGTTGCTCCAAGCCTCATCCAGCCTGGCCTTGAACACTTCCAGGGATGGGCCATCCACAGCTTCTCTGGGCAGCCTGTTCCAGTATGAGCATGTAACTACAAACACATGTAATTAAAATAAATGCACTTAAATTTAAGCCCTATTTACTGTACTTACTTCCACATTCCCCCAATGGTTTCAACAAATCAGCCTGATTGCCTTTTTTACCTTTCAACTTCTGACACCAGAGCAACGCGACCGTAGTCCCAGAATCTCTTTCTTATAATGGAAAACAGCAATATTAAAATCTAGAAAACAAAACCAAAGATCTTTGAATGTTTATTTTTCCACTTCATAATAATTATTCTTAGGTGTGTAGGAACTGTCAAACAACCCTGTCCTAGCTCCTAAACCAACTGTCCTATGTTAAGCAACCCAGTGCCACAGACCAGCGTGTCTGGGACCAAAGGGCCAGAACACCTGCCTTCCTGCTCCCATTTATAAAGCAGAGCTGCATGCAAAAATACTCCTGATGGCAAGCGTATGAAGGTTTGTGACAGGAAAAGCAGCAAGTCGTACTTGAGAGGAAGTAAAAACTTTCCTAAATACACCTTTACCATCGTTCATTACTTGATGACCAGAACTAGGATGGAAGACTTGCCATTTTATTTTATTTTTCAACAGTGATGTGAACAGGCTGTAGGGGGCTCAACTGTTTTCTCAAGTATGAGAAGTACTTTTATCCTCAGCAAAAGCAATATTACTATAACTCATAAAAGCCAGAAATTTGCATTTAATCTCTGCAATGTATTTTTATCTTTTTTTATTTTCACTCTGTGAAAGAGGACAAGAAAACAAACAACCCACACACCCCCCCATGTATTTCATAGATGCATTTTTCTTTTCTTCTTAGAGAAACAAGCTGTTCTGTACGAAGCAATGACGCAGAAGTAACAAGGCCTGTTTTCTATGCATATGCAGCACACGCCCTCACCTTCCAGTCCCTCCTACATCCCATATTTGTTTGGCTAGAAAGTGGTGCAAGTGATGTAACTTACTTGGATCTATGCAAATACCAGCTGGCCAGCCAGGATACATGTCTAAGATTATTTACGTGCCAAGATGACACCGCTAATTTCCGCATTTCACAATGAATAAAGCCTTCTTATAATAACCTTCCTCCCAACAGGGAATGTTAATTCAGATCTTTTCTCCTTCATCTGGCCATTAAACTTCAGGCAACCAGGAATTTCAAGATAGCAAGTTCTCTAGGCATTTTGACAACTCCAGTTGAAATTAGCTCGTGTATTCTACAGTTATTAGGAGGAACTGCCAGACAAAAATGGGAAGGCAATGCAATATAAATACCTCACTTCCTTAGGAAGCAAGCCTAGAAATAATATTCAGAAACCCATCAACTGACAGTTACTAAAGGGATCTGCAGTAAACATGTCATGAATGTAGGAATACAGGAGTTGCTACATAAATTCCAGTACTCGGTACTTGGAGAGGAGCCTTCTGCATTGCATCTAAATATCTACCTAATGCAGTCTGAGAGGAGGATTCAACAGAAAGGAACTCAAAAGCAGAGACTCAGTATCTTAAAATTCTACAACAGCTTTTAAAAAAAAAAAAAACAAAACAAAAAACCAAAACCACAAACCCACGAATAGTAGTCCCCCCAAATGCTCCAATTAAACCTTATTAAGTGCTGTGCAATCATTCACACTGAGCAGTAAATATCCTCCATCCTCAGAAAATGGATTTACGGTAGCGTGCGGGATACACCAAATCAGCAGCAAAGAATGCCACTACATAACTTTTAGGAATATCCTCCACATTCCTACAGAACAACCAGCTCAGACCTCACACAGGTAGTTTTAAGTTTCCCCACAGCAGCTTTCTAGAACTCAGGAACTATGTGATCCCTTTAGTCTCATTTTACTACCTGAAACCTCCCTTATCAGGCCAAGCCCAGAGCTACGACTCTTCTTCTGAAAGCTTAAAACCAGGTAGACCAAACCTACAGAAATAACCCTCAGTTTTATTGGAGCCTCGGGTCTCTAGACCAGCTCCAGTTTTGAAGCCTCCAGACCAGCAACTGATCCCATTCCTCTTTTGGACAGGACTGAGCTGATCAGTGCATTATTTCCTTGATGGCTTCATGAAATTTAACTTAAAAATATGTGAAGAAACAGATTTTCCATATTGTATTTCCTTTTGAAAAACAATCGAGTTAGTGATGGTGTTCCCCTCCTGAAAAGGTGCCCAGTACTTAAAACCAGAGCAGGGAAAAAAGAGTTATTGCAGTTAAGGGAAAACACAGAAAGTTGAGGTACCACTACAAAGCCCACAATGTCCCCACATTGTCTCCTGTGGTATTGCACCCTCTCTACATCTACACATCCAACATACAGTGACCCCGTCATCCCACGTGTATGTGAACCTTTACCAATACTTGGGAAGTGCTCTGATGTTCCCAGGATGCCCTTAGCACATTTCTTATTCTGAAGATTCTCAGAAAAATACCCCTACCTGATAAATAAGAGAATTCTAAACAATCTAACTTTTGAAAAGGCCAGAAGGATTTTCAGTACAAGAAACAGAAACTGTGCTTACAAAGAAGAAGGTTACGTCAAGCAGCAGGACAGTTGGGATTCCACCAAAAGTTACTCCTTGGAGCACTGTGCTTCCCCGGGCAGTGCTGTAGCAGTACGTCTCATTTGTTGAGTTGAAAGGTGCACTTCTATTCCAGTAGTAGACTAGATGAGAATGTCCAAAACCCAGAAAAAAGAAAGGGTTCATCTTGGGTTTCCCTTAAAAAATAATAATAATAAAAAAAAGTGAAACAACCATGTGAAAAGCCTGTCTGGTGTTTGAGTTTTACTAACGTTATGAAAAGTGAACAAAGATTCAACCAGGAAACTACTTCAGAAGCAAAGTCATATTTGACAATCTTTATTTCACAATAACTGACAAGCTCGGTCAGTGGCAGTGCCCATGCAGGAATTCCAGACATCTAACCACCCGTGTCCTCTACGGGCATCCCAAGAAGACCACAGAAGACCCACACAAAACAAACTTCTCTATCTTCTAATCTACAACGTCAAACTACTTATTCCTGCCTGGATTCCGATTCTAGGAGTAACACAGGGCATTAGATATTCCAACAACAGTCACTTGAAGATTCTGCTCCTAGGTGATGAGCACGTGTGAATGCACCAGCTTGTGAACTCTGTATCCAAGTGTCAAGACCTTGAGATTATTAACAAATTCACCACTAATTCCACAGAGAAGAACTACTACATGAATACACATGCTCCTCTCTGTTCTTGGAATACCGTGTGATTTTCCTTTTTTTCCCAATTCAACTGAAACAACAGCAGAGTAATTACAGTATAACACAAACAAGAAAGAACAAGGAATATTTCTCATTTTCTAAGAGAACAGCCATCCACCTCATTTTAGTCAAGTGACCTGCTCAGGTAATAGAGTAACATACAAGAATGCACAAGATCCGGCCATTGATACAAAGGTCTTCTTATCAGGGCAGGGAATTGCTCACTTATTTTGGGGCTTTCCACTTAAACCTTTCTTTTCCTGGATCTTAGTAACTTGATGACCCCCACACGCTTTGGACAAAAGCATGCCTCGTGCAGAACACACTTCTGACTGAAAAACTCAGAAAGAAAGCATAGCCCCAAAATTTTATCCTTTGAAAGAAAGTATTGTAGGACCTCATCCCACAGGTCCAGGGACACTACTTTCGGGATACTGTGCCTCTGTAAAAGGAATGCACATGTCTCTGACGGCAGTGCTACACTGGATGCTGAAAACAAAACAAAACCAAGAGCATGAGTAACTACAAGTTCTCCCTTTAAAGAGCAGAAAACCAGCATTTACTCAGTGCTGCGCTGTGGGATACAGGAGGGAAGAAATTTTAGAAATTTTGTCCCAACTCACATGTTTCATCACAGGAAAAAACCCAACACACCCAACAGAAACCACACACAGAATTTGTGCCGTGAACGTGTCCTCGCTTTCTGAGGATTGAAATTTGGTGCTGACAGGAGAGAGAGCATTTTTTAACATGTTTTGGAAGCCTTCTTCGCAACAACCCCAGAAACCGCGCGCTAAATTTTAAGCGACGCACTGGATCTTGTCAGACACCGTTCAAGTCCTGCAGGCTGTTATTTTTAAGTAAGCCGGCTCTCAGGAAGATAACGAGGAGGGCAAGACCTCCCCACGGGTGGAGCAACTACACGAGTGGGCACCAAGTAGCACGTCGCGGCCTTCCCAGGGAGGGCGAGCACCACGACGGGTCCACAAACGAGCAACCGCCTCCCTCACCCGGGCTGGGACCCCGACCGCCACCCCGGGAGACCGGGGCTGGCAGGGCCGGGCTTCCCAGGCAGCACAGCGGGAAACCCCAGGGCTCCTAACTCCCCTGGGCAAGGAGGACGTGCAGGGGCCAGCCCCCTGCCCTGGAGGGGACGTCCCGGCAGGGAGGGGACGCCCCCGGGGCCGCCCGCTCC